GTTTGTTCTCGAAGATTGTGAAAATTCAAATGCCTCTGAGAAATTTTCTTCTTGATTAAATCTAAGATCGAAGTGACCTCTTGAAACCTAACCTAAACCTCTTCATTTGTTCAATTTGATAGATTGTTAAATTATAGAAAAAAAAGGAAAGGATTGAATTAACTTGATAACTGTACTCCAGTTCAAATAAATTTATAATAAACGAATGATAATTAAATCGTTGTTCAATAATAATTAATCGTTTAGGAATATTTGTGTTTCGCAGAATAGAAGCATAAATACAACTTCCTTTTTCTGCTTTCAGGTAAGAAACAGGTGAACAATGGCTTTGAGTTCTTCGTTGGTGTTTCCGAACGAAGGTAATTCAGTTCATTCAATGAAATTGAGATTCGTCTATTCTGTTGGGCAATTTATTTTGAACAAATTTTAATCGCATCGTATAGTTTCAAATGATTAAATAATTTAATTAAAAACGAATTTTATTTGAATAATTCATATTTCTCATCTGTACGAAGAACGATTTTCTGCTGTCAAATTCGATTTTCAAAAATACGAATTCACATAAAAATCCTTATTTCTAATAACGATAGTATTTGTCAGTTGTTAAATTTTGTATTGCACTGCTGTTGTGTGATACAGACACGTGTGTTTTTTTAAGAAATTTTAATAAATGAAATTCTTGTCTGTAATATTCTTTAATATTTTATTACGACAGTGCTTCGATTAATCGATAAATTTCCAACTCAAATAGTCGAACCTCAAACTATAATATCTGTTGCTATTTTGAAATTTTGAAAATTTGTCTATTACTATTTCTAAGACCTAAATTTTGCACAAAGACTTCCAGCTACTAACAACAATTTATCGATAATTGAACGATAGAGTTTGAATTTCTAAATTCATTGGCCAGACCAATGTCTGTTAATATTATTTCGCATTATTTAATATTAATATTATTTTTCCAGTTAGCAATAACAATTATTCTTGTCACGAATTGATTGACAAAATTTAAATTTCTAAACTTATCTACTTAGCTAGTTTAAAAATTCTGAAACGAATAATTTTTAATTGTCAGTAACAACCATTTCCTGTCATCGTGTCATCAATTTATCGACAAATGAACGATAAAATTCAAAGTACACTTTATTTCAAAATTCTGCGTGACAAACGTAAATAATTTATTTATTATTTTATGCCTCAATCATTATATTTTTTTTTTTTCATT